GCAGACCCACACTGGGTGACAAACGAAGAGGTTTATTGATATATTGTCCTCCGTGTCCGATATAAGTAAACCCACCACACTGCCGATTTTTTCTGTTTGAATGATGATAACAAACACCAAGGAACATAAACGATTATATCTGCGGTGATAAGTGGAACAGAAAGAGAGTTTTTTTAATAAGATATGTGTGATATGACGCAAACCGCAGTGATTTATATGCCATTTTACTCTATATATAGACCTAATTGCCGGCGATCGAAATGTATGGAGATTTTGTACTTTTAAAGGAACTTATGTACTTGGCTGTCAAACCCTGTCAAATATAAATGACTGCCATTCTCTCTCTTTCTCTCTCTCTCTTTCTCTCTCAGTGTATACGTGCGTGCGTGTGCGTGCGTGTACCTGCGTGCACAGAATAATATATGTTCGCGTCATTTATATGGAGGGAGCATGATGAGAATTCCCGCCTTACTGTTACGCGGGTATAACAAACGTGACATCGCCTGTTGTTACACAACAATTATATTACGAGTGTGGTCAGAAGCCCTTTTCAGTACGTGGGTGGCAAAATTATTTACAAAAACAAATTCATCGTGTGAAGGGCGTTAATCGTAAAGCAGTCTTGATGAGTGGTTCTGAAACGAAAATAAAACTAATTTGACTTTGCGTAGTAATCACGACTTTTTTGTTTGCGCGAAATATGGGTTTTGTTAAGAAAGACTTAAACACGAAATGGATATTATTTCCCCTCAAAGCAAGCAGCACAAGTTGTGACTTCTCGTGAACACTTTAAAATGCTAGAGGAGCTCGACCCATTTGTTTTCGCTTACTTCAAATTCTCACACGCCTTGGCCTTTTAGAAACATACTGGGGTGACCGTGATGGTGAAACTTTAAACCTATTTCTAATTTTTACAATGTAAATGAGGGGCATTCGTTCAATTCATAATCTCTAGTTCAGAGTAGTTTGTCCCGGTTTCATGTAGCCTATCGCTTGTTTTCCAAACAATCTGATTGCCTGAATACATGAATAAAATCGAGCTGCCTCGACAGGGTAAATGATTACAAATTGTGGAAAATTGAGAACCGGTGAATAATGGAGAGGGAGGAGGGGAAGGACACTTGGATATTCAACTACGACATGATTACGACAGGAGAGAAATGTGTTTCGTGAATTTATGCCATCCATCATTTCTGCTTGTCTCAGTGACAGTGCAGCTGCGACCAGACAAAATAGGGGATGTCGCACGAGCCTGTGTGTCTGTGTTTGTTCAACACACAACATCAACTTCTTCTAATTAGGGCAATTTTCGCCATCTGTTTTAACTGGAAATTTGCACCAGTGGTTGTAAAAAAGTAATTTTCTTCAATTGCGGTTGGAAAATCGTATTGACTGATTGATTGTGGACATTAGAGCAGGAAAGTTCGCATTGCTCACAAATGAACAATTGAACAGAGAAATGACACGACTCCCTGCGCGTGTTACATTAACCAAATGGGTGTAAATTTGAAAATTAATACGAAAAGGGCAAGGACCCTCCCAGCCAACAGCAATGTCAAACTCACGCCTGAACACTAGCACTTGGATACTGTAAATTGTAAGTTTAGTTGAATCATCGATTATTCTGTGATTGCGACTTGCTATCTGTAGCCAAGGTCACATCAGGCGCACTGTGGTCCAAGGTACAAGCAGACGACATTCTTACCTGAGCAGACGATAGCTCAGATAGCAGACGAGAACACTATTGATACCCTAGAAAAGATTATGAAATCAGTGTCAACCTAGGAAGCATGCATATGCCAACTGAGATCCAGCGCTGGGAAGCTGAGCGGAATGACTAAAATATATTCCCAAAATTGTAGTGTCGTCTGCCAAACGTGCTTCCCTGGCTCACGTCCGGAAGGCAGTATGGAAACAACATCATTATGGACATTGCGTAGACAACTTGGTTTGACATGTATACGTGTACTTATCATATGGAGTGTCCTGTGGTCCTGCAGTGCCCCCCTAGTGCTGGCGGACCAGTCCGTAGCAACTGACTCTGACGGGGGGATGTCCCCGTACAGTTTCAAAGTCCCCAAGGAATTTAACAACATACAAATGGCATTCAGCAAGGAAAATAGAGCAGAAACTCTAGCCAAGCAAAGTGAGGTACTGCAGATGCAAGCTAAAGTGCTGACTGAGTTATTTAATATCAAAAACATTTCTCAGCTCGTTGAGAACCTAATTGCCCGCGTGGTTCAATTGGAAGAACTCCCCGAAAAGTATATCCGGCAGCAGAAGGACTTAGAGGCCTTACGGGAAAAACACGACGTATTGCTGGAACGTGTGGCCGATTTAGAAAGTAACCAGACACAAATCTATCAGACACTGGAAACTCTCGAGGGTGAGGACGAACAAATACGAGGAAAAGTTCAGGAAGTCGACAGGAACGTTCGGAAAAAAGTCGCAGACGAGAACGCAGCAATTACTGAAATAATTCAACAAAATCAACGAAATCATCTCCAGCTTGCGTCCCGGGTCACCAATCTACGAGGCGACCTACAAACCACACAAGACAAACTGTACGAGGTAAGCTCAAAACGCGACGCGTTGGAGAAATCAGTGGAGGAGGGTGTAAAGGGGGAACTCCAAAATCTGGAGGTGCGAGTTGACAGGTTAGAAAAGGATGTAATGGAATTGCAGAAAGAAGATGCCGAGATTGAATCTAAAGTAACCGATCTCGCAACATCACGCGACGAGGCGAGAGAGGATATTGATGCCTTAAAAAAGAACGCCGAGGACATGGACGGCGAGGTGACCTCAATCAAGGCCAATCAAAGTAAAGAACGTGCTAAAGTAGAGAGCGCAGACAAGGCAATAAACGAACAATTAAATGATCTGAAAAGAAAATCAGATGATGTATGCACCGAAATTGAAGCACTAAAAACAGAAAATGAACGCCAAAACGCGAGGGTAGATACTCTTGGCAAAGACCTCGGGGATAAATACGATAAAACGAGCACTGAAATCGAATCGCTTAAAACGCACCAAGATAAACAAAACATCAGAGTCGAAAATCTTGGACAGGATCTTAACTCACTTATCAATAAGAAGGTCCTACAACTAAATACAACAGCAATGGTGCTTGGGACTAAGACTCAGACACTAGAAGAACAAGTTTCCAATCTGTACTCAAAATGGATTTTCCTTAACAACACTACAACAGCCTTAAGAACCTCAGTCCCATCCCTCATCCAACACACTATTCACAGTGTTCTAAATAGCACCAACACCAAAATGGCTGCGTTGAGAAGAACGGTTCATAGCAACGCCAATCACCTCTTTGACCTACACCATGATTTCCAGACTCGGTGGAATGAGACCATAGATAACATAGTCGACGCTATCGATACACTGAAAAACCGAACCGACAATATATCTTCTGCCTCTTTACCCACATCTTGCATGTGCACCGACGAAATGCTGTATAGTTTTGTGACCAATTATCGATTCAACGGCACGGGTCTCAAGCTCGTGATAGACCACACGGGCCATAGTTCTACCACCACGGCCTCCACCACCGAAACCAGCACGAAGGAATTAGTTTCCAGTGTCACACCTTCAACGTCATTATTAACGACTAGTGAAACTACAACGACTGCCTCAGCTGTATCTAGTGCTTCAACCACGGTTAGTTCTACTACTGCTACTAAGAGTACGACTACGCCTGCTACGACCACATCTACTACTACCACTACTACGACCACGCCTACTACTACTACTACTACGACCACGCCTACTACTACTACTACTACTACGACCACGCCTACTACTACTACTACGACTACACCTACTACTACTACTACTACTACTGCCACAACCCCACCTACAACATCTGTCGTGTCAACCTCCTCAACCGTTACCACGCCTACCATTGAACCCACTACAAATACTGAGACTACTCAAGAGACTACTATCACGTCAGTCATTTCTATATCTAGTACCGACTCAACCCCGACTCCTAATACCACCGAGACCACGCCCTTATCTACGCCCACATCTACTACCACCTCGCCAGAGTCTTCCACAAAAACGCCGACGACAACGTGGTTCGACTTTTCCGGAAGTGGTTCTGGAATAGGTGACAATGATAATGAAGATGATGGTGGTGACGTCACAACTACTGAACCCGATATCGGTGACGTCACAACAATATTCCGGAACTACAGCCAGAGCAGCAGTACTGCTGCTGTTGATACTAATAACGAATTTGAGTTTGATAATACTACAGACGAAGTTGACGTCACACAGGAATCGAGTACAGAACGCGCCAGTGTCTCTAGCACAGGGGATGTTATTTTGACTGAACCGTCTCCTTCTAGCACAGAAATGCACGAGACTGTTAATATTACCTCTACCGCAATTACTAGTGGATCTCCTGTCTCCGTCTCTGTTGAGACATCATCGACTGAAGGAGAGATTTCGGCAACAACAGAGGCGATGCCTGTACCGCGGCTGGGTAGGTAAATTGTTGAATGTGACCCCCCCCCCCCCCAAAACACACACATAATGCCTAACCATCCCTATCTAACTACATTTTTCACTTTATTCACAGCGTTGAAAGTATTGGAAGGCAAATGAAATAGAATGAGATAAAAAAAAAACTTACTGACGTCATCCATAATTACCTAGAGATCTATGATTGACCGTCACTCTTTTTAAAAACCTCAGAAATGTAGTCCAAGCGTACGATTTTAAAACCGCGATTTTCTTCACTTGACCTTAACCAAGTGACGGGTTCCAGGTTTTATTTGCTCTTGACAAACAACCTTTCTGGGTTATTGATTTGACCTTCTTTTAATAATTCATTAGGGGGGAAAGATTGTAAAATGCATTTTACTCGACAGTGGAGATATATTAAAAAATGTATCCTTTATGAAATTCTATAATTACAAATCATTATTATTATTATTATTATTATTATTATTATTATTCCATTTAATTTGCTCATGTGGGGTTTCGTGTGTGCAAATACGTGCGTTGTGTAGTGTCCGTCGTATAGAAGAGATATCTGTCAAAATCGCGTAACAATTGTGTATAGTAGTTACAATCTTGGTAGCATTGCGCGAAAACCGTGTGTACTCAAACTTATTGATCTGAAGGGTAAATATAGTGAATTGTTATCGCACAGTGTAAGCCAAATGCTGAGATAGCGACTGTCAGTTGGGTACACGTTGGGGCAGATTTACACGATGTTTGATCATACTGACAAACAAAGCCGTTGCAGGACACTTTGAATAATTAATCTTTGCTAAAGAAAACTTTGTTTTCTAAGTAAAATCTGACAGATAACGTTACAACTTTTAGTTATTTGTCATGCTGTCACGCACAATGGAGAATTCAATAAAGATGTAGGTAAAAACGTACAGTCAAGTCTTGCTGAGATGCAAATTTTCAAAAATAAGAAAAAAGGTGTCAGAATATGCTAATTAGTTTGAAAAAAAGGACCGCAAAACATGTAAATCACATTTCTTATTCTCTAAGGCTCTAACAGAAAAACGACTCCATAACAAGGACACTTTTCCTTTTTATCTTTTTTTTACCTCAAGTTACAGACTGTTAAAAAAGTACTTTGTATTTTTATCATTAAATTATTTCATTGATTACTCTAAAAAGGGAAAATTGTAGAATGACATTGCATTCACAAATTCCATTTTATTTTATTCCATTTTATTTTATTTTTATTTAAAATCTTTCTTTCTGTCTGTGCATTTATCTGACTTTTTACTCTTCATTTATAGCATTTCATGAGCCTGTCAAGTCTTCCAGTTAGTTTGTCCAACCTTCACGCCCCCCACCCCTCCCACCCCCATCCCCCGCCAGCCCTTCCTTTGCCTAAATGTATGAATGGTTATATTAATATGTGAACTCTTTAGGTAAAGAAATCTTTTAAAAATTATAATATGTTAGAAATCACAGAAACCACCTTTGTGTCTGGCCCGATCTGCAAATTTGGCATTTTTAAATTTGGCGTTTTTTAAGCTTTTTATCAAATAATAATTTAAGTACAGTAATGACTAGATCTTTTCAATGGGGAAATTGTGAATTTTACAAATACTCTATTTATTTAATCATAAATTCTTAAAATTAGAACACTTATATTGAGTGGTAGCAACAAAACTGAGAAGCAGGCGACTTTATAGTTTTATTTTATTCAGAAAAAGGACCACAGATGCTACACAGAAATTTATTTCTAATGATTCTAAGATATTATATTTGAAAAATAGATAATTTTTCTCTATTGAAATATTTAAATTCAGTTTGAATCATAAGTCAAATAATATTTTACAAGGACCTGTTCATTTTCAATTAAAACAGTGTAAATAAAACAGCCCGATTATCAGCAATGATTTTTAACCCTTATCATATTAATTTTTCTCGAAGGTTGCGTCGACTCTGATCCAGTATTTGATAACGAGATGACCCAGAAGATCTTCCAGCGTTGGCTCACAGGAGCGTGGATGAAAGACCCTGGGGTGCCCGACGACAGAGTATGGGTCATCAAAAACAGTCGAGCTGATTCCATTATCGAATACAACTCAACAGAAAGACTAAACGGGGATACGCCAAATGGACATTCCATATTTAACGGGTTCCAGTGCACGGGGACGGGTCACGTGGTGTATAAAGGGAGCCTCTACTGCCATAAGTTTAATTCCACTGTGTTGGTGAAGTCCGACCTGAAGGGTCGAATACTGACCGAGGCGGCATTGCCTGGGATGGGAATAGATAACTCGTTTTCGTATTCGGTGGGCGGAAATACCGCCGTGGATTTTGCCGTGGACGAGGTCGGGATTTGGGTGTTGTATTCGACGGAAAAAGAAGAAGGAAAACTGATCGTTAGTCAAATTGATGAAAACTCATTAGAGGTGATGGAAACGTGGGTGACCGATATAATCAAGAACGAAACAATCAATGCCTTTATGATAAACGGTACTTTATTTGCCCTGAACTCGAACACCGCAGGGCTATCACATATCCAATACATATATGACACACGTACCGATAGAGGTCGCTATCTATCACCCACGACGATTCCTCTGCTCCATAACCTCAACTCCCCCCCTCCGTACTTTGACGTCATGGTGGATTACAACCCCAGGGACGAACGTCTATATGTATGGCGTATGCAGAACTGGGACGGACATTTAATTACATTCCAATTAATGTGTAAATAGAAGCTAGTATTTTTTATTTTAATTTTCCTTCGAGGTTTCCTGACAGTTTGTGATGCGCTTGAAATAGAACTGACAGAACAAGTGTAGCGTGGTCGTTACGTCTTTAACTATATTTGTACGATATCAGGTATAGTTTGGCCTTGCGTCTCTACAGCCCCACTCTACTAGTACTGATAAGCGAATCAAAAATAAATGTTTGCGACATTGTTATATACATAGGTTTTTACAATCGCAATTATTACCTCCACCAAGGAGGTTATGTTTTCACCCCTGTTTGTTTGTTTGTTTGTCCGTCTGTCATCAACATAACTCAAAAAGTTATGGACCGACTTTGATGAAATTTTCAGGAACTGTCAGAAGTGGGTCAAGGAAAAGATGATTAGTTTTTGGTGGTGATCCGGATCAATAATCAATCAATAATCAATAATAATATATCTAAGTTAAGGACCGACTTTGATGAAATTTTCAGGAACTGTCAGAAGTGGGTCAAGGAAGGGATGATTAGTTTTCGGTGGTGATCCGGATCAATAATCAATCAATAATCAATAATGAAAAAACTAAGTTATGGACCGATTTTGATGAAATTTTAGGAACTGTCAGAAGTGGGCCAAGGAACAGATGAATAGTTTTTGGTGGTGAATCGGATCAAAAATCAATCAATAATCAATAATAATCAAAAATTGCTGCCTTGGCGGAGGTCTGCGCTCTCGCAGTGTCGTCCTAGTTTATATTACTTCCAGTTCTTCACGCGATGTGTAACGGGGTGTTGCGTTTTTGGTCTTTAAGTCAATAATGAATTAACGATTTACATTTTTCTTATTTCGAAAGAGTTTTTTAAACTCTTAAAAGACCAACACAACGTTTAGGCGTGAATAATAAGCATAACCTTTATAATATTTAAATCATCCTACTTAAAATGATCAAGAAAAGTGTCTATTTAAAACGTAGGATGGTCTAAAGTAGGATGATTCTGAACACCTAACAATGTCAGTTTAGTTAAGTGCGGCACAGCAGTTCAAGTCCCTTGTTCACTTGTTGACTAAAAATCGTAACCAAAAGTTAAGCATTGTTACGAGTTCATTTAAGCGTTTCCTTCAACCTGCGATCCAAGCCAAGTTTTATGTTAAATCAACGTGCCAAGACATTATCACGAGGTCGATATCTGTTTGTAGCTTAGAGAGTACGCAGTACCCTGAGTTTCAGATTTTACAGGAAAATAACCTCCACTTACAGAAGAGGCAGAGACGTGCTAATGATAGCGGTTATTTTTCCCAGTAAATTATCAAACTTAGGGTGGCGTTCGGGGCTTAAAGGGGAAAGGGGGCACAATATGCACTTTGCAACTCCCCCAAACATGCCAAATCCAGAGTTAGCGGAGAGGGAATGTCAACATCTGCAGCCTAGAAGGTTCAGATCAATCTCACAAATGGATTGCAAGCGGAACGTGCAAGGAACGTCGTGCCATAACCCGGTGTTAGGGAAGAACCCACCGCAGATCTCCTGGGCATTGTTTGGCTCACCGGGCGCCCAGTTGGTGTAACTCACAGTCGCGTTACCTTTACTGGAGTGGACGTAATTCCGGTTGTCGCTATCAAAGTCATAAGCGTCGAGATAAGTAAACCCACCGACATCCCCGCTTTCTAAATGAAAAGTTGAAAAAAATGGATAATTACATAGATAAAAGAATAAGAATCTCTATTTCTCCTCTTTCTTTGAATTGCACATTTAACGTATGAATTTCATTTAAATAAAATACAACATTTACAACAAGCGCATATGAAGTCAGCAATCTCAATCACGTCAAAATATGATATTTCTCAAAAACTGATTAGATCTATGGCGAGAATACAAACGAAGTACAATTCCATTGACTGGCTTTGAGGGCACCTGTATGCGCATTCACATCGACAGTTAAGGATAAGCATTGCAAAAGGCGATTAATTTGGGTACCCCTCACACATTCTAACGTGACCACACTATATACTTCAGGGGTGGATCCAGGATTTTTTGAAATGGGGTCCGCAAAATCGACCTCGTTGGTAGGCTGTGAGCCGTACATATGTATTTCATCCCGCGCATCGAGACTCTGCAAACATGGTATTATCATCAACGTTGTTAAAGTTTATCGTGCAGAGGAGCACTTATTTTAGAAGCCGACACGGAGCGTTCCTAGATAGATTACTTTTTTTACTTTTTATTAGTGTGATATTTTCAGAAACCGAAGAGTGTGTGTGTGTGTGTGTGTGTGTGTGGTTGGGGGGGGGGGGGGGTCAGGACCCCCCTGACCCCCTCTAAACCCGCAACTGATACTTTGAAGTGTGGTTTTTACGATTGTGCAGAATATGAAAAAATGCCTTTTTGCGGTTTTGGTGTTTGAGTGCCATATTTACCAGATGACAGTAATAGCTGCTTCAGGCTTTGCGCCTCTTCTGCGTTGTCGATGGAAACGATATCGGACAGAGGTGAATCTGCGCGACAATTTTCTCGAGCAGCGTCAAAAGCATATGCTGTAGGGTTATCTTTATAACAGGAACAATCCAATCTAGTGTACCCAGTTGGGCATACACAATCTGAAAAAAAAAAATGAAAAAATAAAGTGAGAAACGTCAACATCCTTCCCTAAAACAAAGATGATGGCGGTTTGGAACTTTATCACCAATTATCAAATTCAAATATTTGTAAGGAGATGAAAGGTAAACAAACATCGCATATCAGGGCTTTTCTTTCAGAGAGAACAAATGTGGTCTATTTAATTAATCTATATATTGAAAATTCTTTAAAATTCTTTTATTTACATGTACTTTTCTATATAGTTTGTTCTGTTCTCATCTCTGTTTACACACAGTGGAAAAATATAAGCCGTGCAAGGAGCCAGATATCGATATTAAACTCCATCAGTGGTCCATTTGTTAGTCTTACATGACAGCTTGCACACCTAGTCCTGTATCAACGATTCTGAGGTATTTCAAATGAAGGTTATTTAAAACGACTAAAAGATCAATAAAGAAAGAACAGAGATTGTCTTTCTAAATGCCATTCCACCTGTTACCATAACATAGCACATACCATGCAACCCGCATGCTCTCGTTACAAAACGCGAAATGTACGAGAGTTTTAAAAAATTGACTGCAAGAAGGAACATTTACCTAGAATTTTGCGCTTGCTGCAGGTTGTAACACCGGGTTGATACTGAAAAATGTCATTGAAAATTAATCCTGATGAAATGTTACATGCATATATAAAATGTATGATGTATGATTAAAATTATGATTTTAAAGAAATAATGAAACTTGTGTGATTGAACCCTGAAATAAGCTGTAGTAAGTAAATAAGCAATTTACTCTTAACTGTTTTAGAAAAAAAGTTCCGCTTGGAAAAATATTGGCCTTCAAAAAGTAACAAGATACACAATGATGCATGTACATGTATGAACCAACTGAAAAATATGATGCAGGGAGTACATGAACAAACCTTCTCTACATATGAAAACCCCGCATTTTTATACAAGAAAGCCCCATATTCATCTGATGTTGAATTCACTAACTCGCACAAATGGACGCCGTCGAGAGGTTTCTTTTGCCAGTTAAAGCCAAGACAGGAAGGTTCTTGCGCACACTGCAGAGCACACAATGACCGTGTCGTAACGAAGTCCCGCCTCGTCACTTGTGAATGGGAAACGTCTCCGCACCCGTCAGGGAGGATGAACCGCGTCAAAAATACTGACACCAACGTCTGTACTTCCATGGTGCTTACCTCCTCCGTTAAAAAACTAACCTGGATCGATCGATTTAAGTACGTGGGTGCTAGACAACAGTGCTGGCAAATGAACAGATTTTCTTTTATTTAAGGACACAATATCGGGACCACACCCTTATACTCCCAGACACATGATTGTTTTAAATGATTTCATTAATTTTATTGTTTGCCGTTTATCTTTGTGAACAATACTAAGATAAAAATATCAATTTACACTGTACACAAATGCCTCTAAAATGTTTCACTATAAAGAGTGTGGCTTCTTTTCTTCTCCTCGTTTATTGGTCATTTGACAGAAAAGTTAAACATACTTCATTAATTTATAATTCAACTTTGACAAAACGCTCTAAAGATTATATAAAGAAAGACAGCGAAAAACAGACATACAATTTGCTTATAATCAGATCGGTTTAAAGTAACGAATTCAGACGGAAGAACGTAAACGTTTTCATCCCTAAAAACTCTTATCATTCTCTGCTTCATTTTCAGCCTTTGAGCCAAAAGACCACAAGACATGACGGAGGAAAGCATTAATGCCTTGTGCTATCTTTTCAGTAATTTTTTCACGGTTAGTCTAGGTATGAAAAACTTAAATATATTATATCACCAAACTGTTGTGCCCTTAAGAACTCAAAGAACGCTGTTGAAAGCCAGCCCGGGAGTATACATGAAAGCGACTGTTATAAGCCTTATAAATGTCAGCTGAATGCTAGGACCTCTTGCAAAAACGGCTCAACGTCGAATCGGTTTTGGTACAGGCGGATAATTAAACACACAATGGACAATAGAAGTGTCACCCTACTGAACCAATACTTTGGGGGAGACAAATGACTGTGGAATGATATGTTCCTGATATCATTTTATTAACATCAAATTTCACACACAAATGTAGACCAGGCATTATAACTACTCAAGATCTGCCTACTTTGATTATTGATTACTTGATTATTATTTGATTACTCTGATTCAGGGGGTGACACCTCTATTGACCATTGTGTGTATGTATCTAAGCTGAATACTTGCGTGTCACAAAAAATCCAAAAGGCCGTTCTCTCATTCTTCTTTCTTTTGAATTAACCCTTAGAACAAATTGTGACCGTTTTGGCAATAGTTTTACTCTCCACTACATCAGAAGTCCGGTTTTAGGTTTTTGATTACGTTGATTTTTGGACCAAGCGTTCGTAAAACCGCTTTGGACCAATAACACAAAGTCGACTGCACAACCGTCTATCCGATTAGCAGACTCCGAAAACTTATATTTTCTTGCAACACATTTTATGTCTACCAGTTTTCATAATGCATGGAGTGGTTGTTGCGGAACTGAAGGACATTCGATACATCATGATTGAAACCATTTTGGATCACTCGATTTTACTTTGACCCTGGAAAGACTGGAAATCACACCGTTGCCATACAGCTACTATATCATAGACTATCACACTAAAGAACATATATACATTGTTGGAAAGCTAACTGCATGCTTCGTGTATGTTCC